AAACTGTTTTGGAGCAGAATATTGTGTCGAAGATTTTATGTTCTTTAACGTCAAGATTCGACAACATTATAGTGTCTATCGAAGAGTTGAAGGACCTTGCAACGTTGAGTAAAGGATGGACAAGAGAGGAAGCGATAAAGCTAAAACAGAGATTTCTTTGCAAGCACGGCTTAATGAGAAGAGTAGAAGATCAAAAGGAAAATGAGTTTCGAAAGGGAAGCAAAATTTTCAGAATTTTGGTGGAAATGATCCACACAATTCGAAGGTTTCAACGGTGCAAAAGGTGAGAGCAGCTCCAAAGATAGTGATTAAGGCAACAACTTCAAGAAGTTTAACAAGAATAGATCGATGTGTTACAATTGTCATAAACTCGACCGTTTCGAAAGATATTGTCGCACGATACCAAGGAAGAATCAAAGCGATGAAGCTAAGATTGCGAGGCAAGAGGTAGATGATGAAAATACACTCTTAGTCATGATAAAGGAGGAGAATTATGGAATTAAAGAGGTGTTGGACAGCATCAGTAGAAGCTATAAATTGCGAGACAAAAGTTGTAGTAGTTCAAAAAACGCTACAAAAATGTGTTCTGAGAAAAACGTAATGAATAAGGTTCGAGATGAAGTCCAAGGTAGCAATGAATGGTACTTGGATTTAGGTTATTCAACGTATATGACAGGTAAAAAAGATTGATTTGTGTAAATCAATCAAGCTACGAAAAGTAGAGTAAAATCCACGGATGATACCACTCTTGCGGCCGAAGGTGTCGGTGATGTTTTAATCAAGAAGAAGAATGACGAACATTCTATGATCGAGGATGTTTTGTATATTCCACAAATTAAGTGTAATCTCTTGAGTATTGGCCAATTGCTTGAAAGGGGTTACAAAATTTGCATGGAAGACAAGATCTTGCACGTTGTGGATGTAAACAGTGTTTTGATCCTTAAGGCTCCTATGACTACCAATAGGACTTTTTAAGTGAAGTTGAAAGTGATGGAGCATATGTGTTTAGCTACAGCGGAAAGTCAAGAGGAGTAGTAGGAAGTTATGGATATACCTAATTAAGAGAAAGGATGAGCTATTTGATGTGTTCAAACGATTCGAGTCCATGGTTGAGCGACAATGTGGTCACAAGCTCAAAATTCTCTAAACTGATAGTGAAGGTGAGTATACCTCGAACGAGTTTGAGAAGTATTGTGATGAAAAAGGGATAGTGTGTGAAATTGTGCCATCCTACATGCCACAATAGAATGGTATTGCCGAGAGGAAAATCGTTCGATAACGAACATGGTTTGAAGCATGATAAAAGGCAAAGACTTATCAAAGGAACTAAATAGGTGCCCTAAAAAGAAGCTTGATAAGGTGACTCCATAAGAGATGTGGTCTGGATTTAAACCAAGCTTAAGTCATTTGAAAGTTTTCGATTCGATAGCATTTCGACACGTTCCGGGTCAGCTCCAAAAGAAGTTGGACGACAAGGGTGAGATGATATTACTCGTTGGTTATCATTCTACCAGAGGTTATGAGTTATTTGATGTTGCAAACAAGAGGATCGTGACTAGCTGAGATGTTGTGGTCGACGAGCTGCGAAAGTTTGGCAACAGCAAAAAAATTGTTGATGTAGTCCCCGTAACGGGTTACGCTAAAAGCTGTAACCAGCTACCATGTGTATTTTTGGATTCTGAAGCTGCTGGAACTGGGTTTGTAGAAGGAGTAACGTTTACGAGAATCCTTTAACCGGTTACGGGCTAAAAAAATCAGAATTTTCAAAATTCTGGTGGTGCAGAATAACATGTCAAAGCCGAAAATAGAGGAAATAGTAGACCACCAACAAGACAAAGAGTTTTGCCTCAGAGGCTCCAAGAATGTGAAGTATTTTGGGATAACAAAATCAATAATGATGGTGATTTCGTTCAATTTGCGCTTATGGCCGAATCTGAATCGATGAACATGGAAGAAGCTCTAAGCGATACTAAGTGGATTTGTGCACGAGAATCCTTAGATACATTAAAGGAACTCTTGGTTGTGGAATTCTCTTTCCCGCATCAGATACGGAAAAAAATGCGATTTACTTGGTTTCACCTATTCCAATTGGTGTGGTGATAAAGATGATAGAAATTCAATGGCTGGATACATCTTTATGCTTGGCAGAACATCAATCTCTTGGTGTTCGAAGAAGGAATCAGTGGTAGCACTCTCGTCTTGTGAGTTGAGATTATTACAGTTTCGTTGTGTGCGTGTCAAGCTATGTGGCTCATGAATCTATTGAAGTATTTGGGTAGCAATGAGGGTGAGGCTACTACGCTTCGGGTTGATAATGTTTCTGCAATAAGCCTTGCGAAGAACTTGATTGCTCACGGAAGAAGCAAGCATATAGAGATGCAGTTTTATTATTTTAAGGAGCTAATGAGTGAAGGCAAGTTACAGTTGGAATATTGTCGAAGTGAAGATCAAAATGCAGATTTGTTGACCAATGGGATAACAAATGATGTGTTCAAAAGATTAAAGAAAAGTTTGAGCATGCTGGACTTGAAACAACTGAAATGAGGTGGTGTGTTGAAACCTAGATTTTGACATTTCAATTGTGGTAACGGGTTACGAATTTTGGCGTAACGGGTTAAAGAGTTAAAAAAGCTTAAGGATTGTTGGTATAGGGCTCGTAATCGGTTACGTCATTTTCCAAAACCGGTTACAAAGTCATATTTTGTTTTTTTTCTTCAGTTTTTTGTTAGTTTCAGCTTATTTTGCTAAGCTGTTTTGTTATTTTTGATCATTTTGTGTTTGTTGTCTATAAGACCTTGTAAGCTCCCATTTGTGGGGATGTCAATTATTTTTCTCACCCTCAATTTCTCTCTCTATCTCAATTTCTTAATTTCATCTTTTCCAAATTAACTCAATTCTCTATTAATTCACGCTTAGAGATTTTGTATGTTCTAACAAATACAATGAGAGAAAAGTATATAAAAAAAGAGAGAACAAATGGAGGTTGGGTTTTGATTTTTGTCAATAATAATAAAATAAAAAATTGTGGTTTTAAGATGTGTTAGTGGATGAAGTTATGGTTCTTAAATGATGTAGTGTGGTTTATGTGTTCGTGTGGTAAATAGAAGTTTTGTAAGTTATGCAATGCAACAATGGTTTTAGTGGGGGTTATTGAGAGCTTTAACCATATTTCGAATTTTAAAAAAATTAAATAAGAAAATAAGGCTAAGATATGAGAGATAGAAAAATAAAAGTGGATAAATTAAGTCTATTTTTTTATGTTAATAAATTTATTTTATTATAATTAATTAATTAACTTTATTTATCAAGTAAGTGGGGTAATTATTATTAAATAAATAAATAACATAAATATAAAAAAATTACATAACTAAATTTATTTATGGGATAGTTATTATCAAATAAATAAATGAAATGATACACAATTAATAGAAAACAATATCAAATTAAAATAATAATAATTAAATAAATAAAATAAATATAGCAAATTATATAATTGATCTATGTTTTACCGCCAAAAGTTGTTAAGCGACTTAACAATTTTTATATATGTAAATATAATATCTACCATTTTTAATTTAAAAGCTTTGTTTGAAAATAGCTTACATTCAAAATTTTAAAATAAAGTAATGAATCATCATAATTATTTCAACTTAAATTTATTATTATATTTTTTACTAAAATGCAATGATTTGCACCTAAAAAGAGGCAAAACGGGCACATTCAATCAATTAGACTCGTACTCACTAATGTGTTTGTATTGTTTTGTCTTATTTTGTTGCGAGTTTTTGTGGATGAGAACATTAATATAAATTTTAGCATTTAGCATTTTTACCTTAAAAATATATAGTGTCAACAAGTTCGTTCGCCTGCATCAATATAAATTTTAGCATTTAGCATTTTTACCTTAAAAATATATGGTGTCAACAAGTTCGTTCGCCTGAATCGCCCTCATTTTTTTGAGCCGATTAAAATTTCATGCTTATAGTAATCTTGTCCTGCCTCATTTTTTAATGCCCATTTGCCACCTTGTAATTTTTTATTTTTAAAAAATACATTTTGAGAACAAAATAATTTTAAAAGGTTGTAGTCGTCAATTTCAAGGTGGCTAATGAGTTGGTTGATACTAAGTTGAAAATATTGGAAAAGGTCGGAAAATTTATTGATGAAACTAATGTGATTTTAAAATATCTAATGCCATATAATATCTAAAGTTTGCACAACTGTTATATGCCATATGCCAGATTAAACTTAAATATTTTTATTTTAAAATATGTCATAATCATTTCAGCTAGTCCAAATGACTATAAACTCTGCATATAACATTTACTCATGTTTGAGGTTCACATTTTCAATCTCAATTTTGTTTGAGGTTCACATTTTCAATCTCAATTTTATATGCTTTTGCAGCATCCAACTTTTCTACACCACATTTATTTATTTTCACTTCATATATTACAGATAGAGACATCAATTCAAAATATAATAACTAAAAGTTTAAGTTAAAGTGAAGAAAAAAATGAAAGCACAGACATCCCAACTAGGTTGGCACCCCTGAACTTCCACCTAAACTATTAAAATATAATACAAAACTTTGGGGGGACTAGACCGATACCCAATGTAACAACCATGTAGACCAAAATAATTGGTCAACTGCCTCGTTAAAAACCTTATCAAGAAAAACCCTTTGGGATAAAAACCTTGATGAAGGGAAAAAGAGTGCAGTTATAAAATGGTTTTCTAAGTAGAATCTCACGCAATGAAAGTATACCTTCCTGCCAATCTCATGGCTTCTATTGTGGCTTCCAGTCATATGAGAAAGACTAACATTCTGAGCATGCATTGTTTCTTACTCCCTCCTCAAATATCACAATAGTCTCTGTCCACTTCAAACACATTTGAAATTGCAAATATTTCCTGTTATTGTCTTTGAACTATATATTCACAAGAGTCATCGATCAATGACTGTGATTGTCACTATCAACAGCTGCACCTCTATGTCATTATTTAGAACGCATTCCTCTAAATTCTAAAAGCTTCTTCAACTCACTGCAAAGTTGATTATGCATAATTTAGTCAAAAAATAATTTAGGCGAAGAATAATTTAGAAAGTAGAATGTCTAAATTCTCTAAGTAGGGTAGAAATTTAATAGTAACACACCTGCACTTTGGTATTTTGCATTCTGAGCTTTTGCAATCCATGGAATGAGAAACTAATATACTCCATATCTTTCTACAATGCCCGCACCCCCCTTCAATATGAGTTTTGCACATTTTGACATGATTGAACAACCTCATTAATTGACGGCATGATGTATTTGGGCACGGTTTAGCATTAGTTCTGGGACATTGATATAAATGCTTCAAAGTCATCTCGTATTTTAGCATCTGTGTGTGTAAGTCGGAAAGTATGATCACCAATCTAAAACAAACAAGTAATTAAAAAATATATCTTGAGAATTAATATCATACCATTTTTCCACTTGACCTACGATTCCGAAGTTGAGATACATATTTGAAAAATTTCTTCTGTTTCAGTACCTGTGTGTGTAGATTAGAAAGTATGATCAACAATCTTGGACAGAGTAATAAAAATATTAAATTCAAAGAATTAAGTTCATACCACATTCCCATTTGGTGTTGAATTACTTACAGCCAATTTGTGTTCATTTTGAGTTGATTTGTGTTCATTTTGAGTCAATTTGTGTGCATGGCAGTTAACACCTCTATCCTTATAGCATGCAGAGCAAATGATACAATCTGGACAAATCTCACATTTCCAGCACTTTTGGAACACATTGTGTGCGCAACAGATACTACAACATTTTCCAAAAGTCATATGACTTGGATTGCTTATATGGTGCACGATCATCATTGAGGAGTACTTAGCATGTCGTAGTGTGTTAAACTGAAGCTGATACTTTTGGCAGAAGCTCAAAAAGATGTCCCTATCTTTAAATAAATCATTTTCAAGGATGGTATCATTATGCTTAGTGCTGGAGGGGATATCATCAACAATGACCTAAAAACGACAAATAAACCAAAATTTTGCAAGAATTTACTAATGATAAATATTAAAGCTTTAGGTTTAGTTAGGCTGTTACCTGATAAAGAGGATGCACTTCACCATTCTTTAAGGTGTGCTCATTTGAACTATGGCATCTGTAAAATATTGATATGAATGTCAAAGACAACTTTTTTAATTGTATTCAATGCAAAAACAATGCATTCATTTTAAAAGAAGGGAAAACAATTGAAATATGTATTTAAGTTATCATACCTTTCACACTCTTGAAATTTCTTGCATTCAGTGCAAAACCACCGCTTCCCACACGTTATCACTTCACAGCAGTGCATGCATGAATATTGTAAGTGAGCTATGATGAAATTTTCCTTTGTAGGCAATATATCTTGACCCACCTAATGAAAATTGAGTTTAAAAAAAAGGAAGAAAGGTTAGATAAAATGACATTAAACTGAACTATATTATATGAACATTTCAACTTTTCATTCAATCTAGTATAAAAGGATATGAGATTAATTTTGATGTAATGTTAGTGTAAAAGATTTTAGACTATTAACCAATCAAAATCCATAATTTATATATGACTTTTATGCTAGAGATATAATCAAAGTCAAATATCTTTAGTAATTCAACCATTAAGACTGATTAATACATATTAAATCTAGAGAATATATTCCATATAATGACATTGTTTAGTTTATCTAAATGTAGAACACTAAAAAATGAAATTAAAGGATGAAAGTAAAAGAGAAGGGAGACATACTTTTTGCATCACCAAAATGTCTTTAGCATCATCTTTCGAAGGATGGACATGTCCCATGGTCTTCAAAGCTCTAGTTGACACTCGTTTCTTCAACATACTTTCATAGTCTCCTCTGCTCTCTTTTTCAATGGTCTTCGCTTTTTCCATAGCAGAACCACACCAAAAGTCTCCATTAAAGTATGGCAAACGAGAAATCGTCACTTGAGAGCCCCTTTTTCAGTAGGAACAAAGAAATGATCATATATGTTGGTTAAACCAACAATAATCTTTTCTTTAGTAGCCTTTTTTAGCATTGAATGATACCTGCATAAACAAACAATATAAATATTCTATGGTATCATGGAAGTGCTAGTTTTCGTAAACAAAGATGATAAAAAAGGAAAATAATACTCTCAAATTCTCTTAAAAACTCAACATATACTCATAATAAGAAAGACAGACTGACCAAGAGCGTAGCTTATCCTTGTCTGGAATCTTTTGCTCAATGGGATGACAATATAGTATATAGTCATTCCTTTTTGAATAAGGAGGACATGCCCATATGTAGCAAGTTGAGAAGCCCCTTTTCTTACAAAAATCAAGATATCCAATCTGATGATAGAGAGAAAAAATCACAAATAGAAAAAATGGAAGGATTTAGGATTCAATATTATATGTTTTATTGGGCCTAGAAGTAAAGTTTAAAAGAAAAATACCAATATCTCATGGTAAACGAAGGTACGAAGTGCTTCTCCTTCCACTATCACTTTTTCAGGCCTAAAGTATTTGACAGAATCAAGATATGAAATGTATACACAACGCCGATTCGGATTGCCACATTCAGAGCCAAACTCCTGGACGTACATTCCAAAAATGCATATATCTGCTCCATCAATCTTCTGAAACAGAAGTATAACCTGAAACCAATGAAACTTTTATCAAACCTCTTGGACGTATATTTATTTCTCATTGATATATTACTGAACTTACTCTTGATCTTTGAGAGAATTCAGCCGGATAGTTCTTTTTTGGGATGATGTCAAGAAACTGCTTCCTCACTTTAAATTGTTCGCCGATAGATAACACTTCTCTAATAGAAATACTATCCGCAGCCAAAACCTATAGGTTTGTAGTAATTCATGTCAAATGAGAAAATAACATGGAAGAAAACTATTATAGTACTATTTTTAATTTACATGCTTGCATATGAATAAGAAAATGTTACAATATTTCAAATTAATGTGCATACATGCTGCTTTTTCTGTATTACCTTTTCAAGATTCTCACTTCCTTTCATGAGACGCTTAAAAAGTCTTTTCTCTAAGTGGTCACTAAGCATGGTTCTTGGTAGGTCCTTAGCACCATAAGGATTAGCCTTTTGAAAAGGAACATGCACTCCATTTTTAATTTCTTTTAAGCGGCATAGAGCACATATATACTCAGCACTGCAGTCCAAATCTTTTTTGTTGTTGTAGAGTGCACATATTTGATGCTGCCATCTTTTGCATTTATTGCATTCAACCCACTAGAAAAAATAATGATCATTAAAAGTTAGTTTATGGTCCCGATATAAAGATGAGTTAGTATTTAGTAATGGTTATTACAACATACCAATTCTTCAACTACATCATTTTTCTTTTTTTCAAGATTTTCCTTAGAAACATATGTCCCGTTGAATGCGATGCAACCACCTTTAGATGTATTATAACAGGTGGAGCAAAAGCAGCGCTCTGCATCAAATTCCTCATCTTTTCTACCAAAATATGCGTTTTTTCTCTTGATGAGAAGGCGACAGCATATACAATAAACCGGCACCGGTTCAAAGTAAAGCGTTTTCCTTTCACATAATTGGCAGGTGTTTGTTGCATCAATTCCTGCTCCATCTTCAGTTGTAATCTGTGTTATAAGAATTGTTAACTTTAATATTTCTAAGACAAATTTAAAAGTAAATAGAATTATGCATACAAGTAAGTTGCAAAGAAATTAATAAAAATTGAAGAAATTGACAAATGTAAATAGAATTTGTCAGCTGAGCATGCGACCACATGCAGACAATCAAAGTTTTAGGATAGCATGCATATATAACATCCAAAGTAAAAGAACTATCATTCATGAACTTTAACCAAATAGCTTAACCTTTTGGAATTGTCAGTTCATAACAAAACATATAACAATAATACCTAAACACAGCAGGATAATTGAAAACACTAGAAGATGCTGTACTAACCTGAAGAGGTTCCATTTTCAGACTATTAACATGTTCTATTATTTGATCATGTGTGAAAAAATCAATCATCGAAACAGCATCAGTTGTATTTGAGGACTTTCTTTCGTCTGAGAAAACTGATGAATGATTTGTTGATGTGCCATAAGCCTTTCTTTCGTCTGCCACGGGAATCCAACTGTTGTAATCCATTTTTCTATTCACTAAGAAGCAAGTAATTAAAAAAAATAGTTAGTGCGTGCTCATGATATAAGAGTCCAACCAACACTCTAATATTAGCCACTGAAATCGGTGAAATATTAGAAACGCGTTTGAGAAAAAGCTACTCAAGAACAAAAGAGCTTTATTGATTTGGGTTCAATCGATAATTAAATTATATCAATAAATTTTGAACATTATTTTTTATGAAAGTTAATACATTATAATAAGGAATAAATTTTTTTCTCTTCAGGATCACTATACGAAAACTAAAATCTCCGTAATTCAATCATCACCATAACGACTTTCCTTCCATTTGTATCAGAATCAATTTTAGTAATAAGAATCAATTTTAGTAAGAAGAATCAATTTTCCAACCAAAACCCTAATAGCCACTGAAAATAGTGAAAATTTGGAAACGCGCGTAAATTCACGGCTGAACCAAGCAAATGCGTTTAAAAACTAGGTTGAACCAATATTAATTAACGATTAATTCTTGACTGTAATGGAAGAAATTAGGATTAGGGTTTTGAAATTGGAAAGAAATTAGGAGAAAATAGGGTTGGGGTTTTGAAATTGGAAAGAAATAAGGAGAAAATAGGGTAAGGGTGAAAGAGAACGTACAAAGTGAAAGTTGTCGTATATGTGAAAACCTTGTGAGTAATTGTTATGGGGACCGATTGAATATTCTGAAATCGCTTTCTTTATTCTTCGCTTCTTTCTTTTAATGATAGTAAATAGAATTTCGCTTTTATATATTATTTTTGGCTTAAAGGCGGCGGCACAAGACCACCACAAAAGGTGGCTGAAATTTCTGATGTGAATTACTGTTAGGTTTAAAAATAAATTTATTTTTTAGCATAAAGTATAAACTAATTTTAATAAAAAGAAAAAGATTTAAAAGGATTTTTTTTTGTATTTAGAATAAAATTATTAAATTATAAAAAGTTTCACTAGTTTAAATTTATATGTATTATTATAAAATAGAATTAAAACAAAATATTTTATATAGTTAATAAAATTTCCCTTTATATAAGAAGTGATGTGAATTACATGATCTAGAGAGTTAATAACTCATAAATCACTTTTTATCTCTTTATCTTACAAGGTTCTAGATTTGTTCTATTCATAACAACTGCCATATTTTTAAAACAGAGATTTTTTTAGGATAAATTGTTGACTTTTAATTTAACTAACTCCGATAATAAAGGGCATTATTCATATTTACAAAAATATATTCTGTCAAAAGAGTTAAAATTTAAATTAAGAAAAGTTATATTTTTTTATCATTAGAATTTAATTTAATTTGGTTTAAAATATTAAATTACTAAAGTCATATTTTTCTTTCTTAATTCAACTAAATGAGTTTTTTTGTTTTGACTAATAAAAAGCTTAATTTTTTCTATTTGTCTCTAACCTAGGGACAATGGATACAATTGTAATTTTCGTCCAATTACCATAAAAATAAAATTGAAAAGTAAATTTCACCATAATTATTTTCTATAAAATTAATAAATTACGGTTGAATTATAAATCATCACCATAAAGAAAAACTGAATGGCCATGCATATTGTATTAAAATCAATTTTAGGAATTGTACTAAAAAAAATAAGGAAGAAAATGTACATCATCGTCGTAACTATTTTAATGAAATAAGTGAAATTTTTAGGAGTGGAGTTAAAAATGGTGAGGGAACTACAAGTGAGACCTACATTAGATATAAAATCAGTACATGAGTTTTATTCTCTATAAATGTGTGAAATGAAAATATATCTATGAGCAAAGTAAGCCAAACAACTGAGACTTGTGGAAAGCAATCACCATTTGAAGAGTATGTTTTAATCTATAGCTTATGTTAATCTCTCTCGATGGCTATAATCATAACATTTATTACCGTTGAGCATTTTTTAGTGAAAAATGGGACAATATTTCTATGATTTTTGTGACAAGTTTGCCGAAGACAATGAAATAATGTGATTCCATTTGGGTTATTGTCGATAGACATACTAAATCGACTCATTTTATTCTGATTAAGACTACTTATCCCTTGCAGAAGTTACATGAGTTGTATATTGAGAATTTATAGAGTTACCCTCATAAATTCGGTTCTTGCAAATCTGTCTATCCACTATCTGGCTTTATTCAAGGCTCCTCAAAAGGTTGTGAAGGCTTTAATAGCGATTCAACGATGATTCTTATGGGGTGCGAACTCGAGCAATTCTTTTATCCCTTGGGTTTCTTGGAATTTTGTTTGTAGATCTAAGGAAGATGGTGGTCTGGGTATTAAGCATGTGGGTCGGTTCAACAGTGCATTGTTAGCAAAGTGGCTATGGAGGTTCCAAACTTGCGGCAATAAAATATGGAAAAACGCCCTCACTATCAGATACGACAACCTCAGCATTAAGACGCAAACTTACTCCGATGTTGTTAGTTCGAAATCAGATTCGTTGTGGATGAAGGATATTATGACCAATGCGTCACTAAGATCACAGTCCAACTTCTGCAAGTTCACGATCTGCTCAATTGGTGAAGGTAATGATGTGGCGTTCTGGCAGTCAATCTGGATCGGCGACATGCCGCTAAAAGTCAGATTTGATGGCTTATTTCAGTGCTGCCCTTTGAAGTCAGTGCCAGTCCATAACATGGGATACTGAGAGGATGGACAGTGGAATTGGAACCTCTGAAATTCGTTGTTGGATTCAGACAATCCCCCTGAACCAAAATGGTCTGACTGCTGTAAGTTGCTGGAAAATATCTCAGTTATCCCGGGTGAATCCGACAAATGGCGGTGGAGTCTTCATGAATCTATAATTTTCAAGGTTAGCTCTATTTATCCAATCATATATCCCTCTCTATCTGAACAAGACATTAGCTCAGATTGTGCTACCCATATTGGGTCCATCTGGAAGACGGTCATTCCGGCGAAAGTGCAAACGCTCAGTTGGAGATTGGCGCTTGATAGATTGCCTACGAGATCTAATTTATTAAAGTGAAGGGTGCTTGATTCCGAGAAAGATTTGGACTGTGTGTTTTCTTCCAATAGCCTGGAGGACGTTTCCCATCTTTTTTTCTCGTGCTATAAATCTACTCAGGTTTGGAACAAGATCTGTGAATGGGCGGATATAGACATAAATCTACAAGGTGTGGAACACAAGCCTTAGAGGTCGGTGTCAAGCGAATAGAGTTAATTCAATCTGGTTTATTAGTTGCTGGAATATCTGGAGGTATAGAAATGATTGTATTTTTAATAATGTAGTTACTGAGGTCGACAGTATTGTATTCGACATTAAACTCAATTCTTGGAATTGATTGATTCTAGGCAGGAAGAGGAGCAAGCCATGTTGCTTGTACGATTGGTTCAAATTCCCTTTCGACTTCTTGTAATTGTATCTTGGTTTGAGATTTTCTTAATCTCCTTTTTAATATTATCTGCTTATCAAAAAAAAAATATTGAGAAGCTTGTTAACATGCACGATATTCCTTTGAGTATCATGCCAGATAAAGACACGAGATCTACATCGAGGCTTTGGCATAGTTTGCAAGAAGCAATGGGTAGTTGAGTTCTGCTTGTATGCTAGAGCAAGGAGGTTTTTGGGATAGTTACTTGTCGTTGATTGAGTTCACCTACAACACAGTTTCTATTCTAGTATTGGAATAAAAAAATTTGAGGCTTTGTCTAGTATAAGGTGTATGACACTTTCGTGTTGGTATGATTCTGGTGAGAGTGTTGTGCCCAGACTTGATATAGTTCAGCAGACTACTAAAAAAATCAAGATAATCCAAGAAAAGATGAAAACTTCGCAGAATTTCCAGAAGAGTTATCATGATAAAAAGAGGAAAACACTTGAGTTCCTAGTTGGAGATCAAGTATTTTTGCGAATTACTCCAGTAACTGGTGTTGGTCGAATTTTGAAGTCTCAAAAGCTCATGTCATGTTTTGTTGATCCATATCAGATCTTGTAGAGGATAAGAGAGGTGGCTTATTGAATTGTCTCACCACCGCCGTTTGCTAATCTTTATGTTGTGTTTCATGTGTCTCAGTTGAGGGGATATATTTCAGATCCGTTTCATGTGATCCAACTGGATGATGTACAAGTTAAAGAGAACTTGACAATTGAGACTTTGCCGTTTAGGATTGAGGACATGAAGTGAAGCAGTGATGTGAATTACAAGATCTAGAAAGTCAATAACTTTTTGACGAAAATAAATATATTTCCTACTCAAGATTTAAAATTGTTTTGATTTTTTTTAATTGAATTAATTATTAATTCATAAAAATAATTTTACTTATTATAGATTTTTTTGAATTTTGTTTACAATCTAAATATATAAGAAGTGATATGAATTAGTATTAGGTTTTAAACGAAAATTATTTTTTATCATAAAGTATAAACCAATTTTAATAAAAAGAAAAGGATTTAAAAGGAAAATTTTTTGTATTTAGAATAAAATTATTAAATTATAAAAAATTCCACTAGTATTAGGTTTAAACAGAAAAAGGTTTTAAAGAAGTTTATTTTCCATAAAGTATAAACCAATGTTAATATAAAGAAAAAGGTTTTTAAATGATGATTTTTTTTAAACCAATCAATTTGGTCCATTTAAATACACAGTAGTAATATTTTGTATTTAGAATAAAATTATTAAATAATAAATTTTTTCACTAGTTTAAATTTATTAACCTACATTTTTTGTAAATTTAAATGTATTATTATATAATAGAATTAAAATAAAATATTTTATATAGTCAAATTCAATAAAATATTAAATTAAATCTTAAGATAAAGTTTAGGCAAAATACCATTTTTCGTCCCTTAACTTTAACTCGGGGTCCATGTTGGTCCTTTATCTTTAAAAAGTGGCAAATTGGTCCTTTAACTTTTAAAATGGTGTCATTTTAGTCTGCACCGTCAGTTGCCCCCAAACGTCCGTTTATTTTGCATATCTGACAGATGACCTAACAAGCATGAAATCCCTAATTTTGTTCATGATGT